AAGAAAGAAAGAAAGAAAGAAAGAAAGAAAGAAAGAAAGAAAGAAAGAAAGAAAGAAAAGAAAGAGAAAACGAACTTTACACTGGGAAGCTGAACAAGTGATCTACCTTTTCTATTTGCATGTTCCCCCATGGACTGGCTGTGGCAATGTAACACCTGTACGATGTTTTCAAATAAAAATAAATGCTTTACGAAAGCACCACACTGCCGGCTCTGTCGTGTGTTTGTCTCCACTGTGACAGCCATGATGCTAGTTCCCTCGAGATGCTAGAAATAGCAAAGACAGCAGAGAAACAAGCACAAGTCCAAATAAAAACAAGAGGGAAAACAGTTCCAAATTAGGAACAGCAGAGTCTCTGAGCTATAGTTTCGAAAAGTCAAATTACACATATTGGTCATTTAATTTAGGATACTAAAGAAGGCTGTGGGGATATAACTTTCAAGTCCACAAGGACAACTTCTGCATGATAGTGGAAAGCTACCCCTGAGAAATGGTTTCTTATAAAGAATAAAATTCTGGGTACACTGCTCTAGACATAACAGCAGACCTAATCATTAGCATTCTTCCAAACTAGGACATCTATGAGTCTAGAGTATCCAGATTCCTGCTCATAACTTAGAGAGAACCTAACACTTACCTCTGCTTTCAACTTTCTACCCATGAAGCATCCAGGGTAGACATTATATGTACATTATGTGTACATTACTTTGTACATCCTTGGCAGTTATGTTCACAATCAGTCACTCAATGAATAAATCAGAATGATAGTGTGTCTGATCTTTATATTAACATTGATTCATTCATTCATTCATTCATTCATTCATTTACATCCAGATCACTACCCCCTCCAGGTCTCCTTTCCACAGTCCTTCTCCTTCTCCTCTGAGGGTGTGGAAGCCCCCACCCTGGCACATCAAGTCTCTGCAGGGCTAGGTACATCCTTTCCCACTGAGGCCAATTGAGGCAGCCCAAGTAGGAAAACATATTCCACAGACAAGCAACAGGTTTAGGGATAACTCCTGCTCCAGTTGTTTGGAACCCAGATGAAGACCAAGCTACACATCTACTACATATGTGCTGGGGTGGGGAGATAGGTTCAGCCTGTGAGGTTGGTGGTTCAATCTCTGAGAGCCAATGATCTAGGTTAGTTGACTCTGTTGATCTTAGAATTGCTGGGAAGGAAGATGGAGCAGAGACTTGGGAATGGCCAAGCAATAATTGAAGACCCATCCCATGGGCAAGCTCCAATCCCTGACACTATTAATGATACTGTTATCCTTGCAGACAGGAGTCTAGAATGGCCGTTCTCAGAGAGGCTCCACGAAGCAGCTGACTCAGATGGATGCAGAGACCCACAGCCAAAACGTGGATGGAGTTTGTCAAAAGGATTGATGGCCCTGAAGGGGATAGGAACTTCACAATATTTTTAAATTGATTTTCCAGTAAGCTCTTTGATCAAAGATGAAATGAAGTTGAATCCCAGGTCAATCCTGGGTTCAGAGGTCAAGCAGTTTCAAAAGATTGTGGACAAATTCCAGTAGACAATCAACATGAGTGTAATGTTACATCTGCTTCTCTAATGAGTTATCATTTTCTTAAAGAAAGAACCTGGTTTCCTAAATACTCAGGAGCTCCAGTAAGAGAAAAATGAGAAAGCATTTGAATTTAATAACAATTAATAAAAAGGAAAACAAACAAAATAACTCTAAAATTCCCCAAGACAGCTGTCATTGATTAGATTTTTTCTATGTCCCACAAGAAAATGAATTGTGATATGTGATATAGTAGCCCAACTTATATGTAAAAATACAATTAATAGTTCAGTGCCCAGCAAAACATCTGGCACATGGAAGCCATTGTACATCTTATTTTATTATAATCTTTCTTCAAAACCACAAATACAAAGCACAAATACAAGCAATTCTATTACAAAATGTCACCTGTCATTCTTCTCTTCTTAACTTTGTTTTAATCTTATAAAACTCTCATTATTGGAATTAAAAAGAAAACAACATATACACTCAAGTTCCTGCTTCTAAGGAACTTAAAAAAAATCATTTACCAAGGCCTTCAAGTTCGAGGCTGAGGTAGAAGACAACCAAATTCTTTCTTTCAAATGCCATTTTACATTTATATCATACATTCTTAATTGTGCATACCAATCATACTTTTTATTATTCATTTTTTCATTAATAGTGCCCTCTCTTATTTCTGGAACTAGAGAGCTCACTAGGGGCCATCTATGAAGGGTTTTAGCCCTTCATTCTCTATGGGATTAAAATTTATTTTTAAAAAAAAAACTGCCACAGCAGGAAAGCTCTGCCACATCCAGGTGTCCCTTATTGTGACCTGAGAGAACAAGATATTGAGTGTCACTATTCAGACAGCTAGCCAAGTCTCCATCAAACATGGCAACATATTGATAAATAAGGCCTGCAAATGATCAGGGGGAGCAGGTCTCATGGAATAGGCTACAAAATTAGCATCATCCATCTGGATGGACAAAGGGCTGGTGTAAGCAATGAAAATCCACTGCGGGGGGGGGGGGGGGGGGGGACATGAAGAGGAGCTTGTTCATTGAGTATCAGCAATAGAGCTAGGCCAATCCAGCAAACTGAAAAATAATTCCACAATAGGAAAGACAAATACTACTTCATGTAGTGAAAAGCAGTCTTCCTATACTCATTATTTCGAACTGATGGTACAAGTTAAAACATATCACCTTTAGATACAGTATGTAAGAGTGCAAGTAGGCTGACTGTGTGGTTCATTATATGGTCCATTAACACTTTATTTTTTTTGATATTTTTTATTGGATATTTTATTTATATTTCAAATGTGATCCCCTTCCCCATTTCCCCCCCCCACAAAAACCCCCTATCCCATGCCCCCTCCTCCTGCTTCTATGAGGATGTGCCCCCACACACCCGCCCACTCCCTTGAATTCCCCCACACTGGGGCATCCAGTCTTCATGGTACCAAGGACCTTCTCTCCCACCTATGCCCAACAAGACCTTCCTCCCCTACATATACAGCTGGAGTCATGGTTCCCTCCCTGTGTGCTCCCAGGCTGGGGGTTTAGACTCTGGGAGCTCTGGTTGGTTGGTATTGCTGCTCTCCCCATGGGGCCGCAAACCCTTTCAGTTCCTTCAGTCTTCCCTCTCACTCCTCCATTGGAAACCCCATGATCAGTTCAATGGTTAGTTGTGAGCATCAACCTCTGTATATGTCAGGCTCTGGCAGACCTCTAAAGAGACAGCTATATCCGGCTCCTGTCAGCATGCACTTCCTGGCATCCATATCAACGTCTACCTTTGGTGACTGCCCATGGGATGGATACCCAGGTGGAACAGTCTCCAGACAACCCCTTCTTCAGTTTCTGTCCCACGTTTTGTCTCCATACTTGCTCCCATGAGTATTTTGTTACTCCTTCTAAGAAAGGCTAAAGCACCCACACTTTGGTCTTCCTTCTTCATGAGCTTCATGTAGTCTGTGAGTTATATCTTGGATATTGTGAGCTTTTGGGCTAATATCCAATTATCAGTGAGTGCATACCATGTGTGTTCTTTTTTGATTGGGTTACCTCACTCAGGATGATATTTTCTAGCTCCATCCATTTGCCTAAGAATTTCTCAAATTCATTGTTTTAATAGCTGAGTAATACTCCATTGTGTAAATGTACCACATTTTCTATATCCATTCTGTTGAAGGACATCTGGGTTCTTTCCAGCTTCTGGCTATTATAAATAAGGCTGCTATGAACATATTGAAGCATATGTCCTCGTTATATGTTGGAGTATCTTCTGGACATATGTCCAGGAGTGGTATAGCTGGGTCCTCAGGTAATGTTATGTCCAATTTTCTGAGGAAGCACCAGACTGATTTTCAGAGTGGTTTGCAAATTCATTTGGAATAACAAAAAATCCAGTATAGCAAAAACTATTCTCAATAATAAAAGAACTTCTGGAGGAATCACCAACCCTGACCTCAAGCTGTACTACAGAGCAATAGTGATAGAAACTGCATGGTATTGGCACAGAGACAGGCAGGAAGATCAATGGAATAGAATTGAAGACCTAGAAATGAATTCACACACCTATGCCCACTTGATCTTTGACAAAGGAACTATAACTGTCCAGTGGAAAAAGGACAGCATTTTCAACAAATGGTTCTGGTTCAACTGGAGGTCAGCATGCAAAAGAATGCAAATCGATCCATTCTTATCTCCTTGTACAAAGCTCAAGGCCAAATGGATAAAAGACCTTCACATAAAACCAGATACACTGAAACTAATAGAAAAGAAGGTGGGGAAGACCCTCGAATACTTGAGCACAGGAGAAAAGTTCCTAAACAGAACACCAATGGCTCATGCTCTAAGATCAGGAATTGACAAATGAGACCTCATAAAACTGCAAAGCTTCTGTAAGGCAAAGGACACTGTCAATAAGACAAAGTGACAACCAACAGATTGAGAAAAGATCTTTACCAATCCTACATCCAATAGAGGGCTAATATCCAATATATACAAAGAACTCAAGAAATTAGACTCCAGACAACCAAATAACCCTATTAAAAATGAGGTACAGAGCTAAACAAAGAATTCTCAAATGAGGAAACTCAAATGTCCAAGAAGCACCTAAAGAAATGTTCAACATCCTTAGTCATCAGGGAAATGCAAATCAAAACAGCCCTGTGATTCCACCTCATACCAGTCAGAAAGGCTAAGATCAAAAACACAGGTGATAGCAGATGCTGACAAGGATTCAGAGAAAGAGGAACATTCCTCAGTTGTTAGTGGGATTGCAAGCTGGTACAACCATTAACATTTTCAGTACAAAGGCAGACATTGATCATTATACACAAACAACAGGTTGTAGCATAGCCGAGACTGCTAGAGACTCATATGTCT